TAGCCTTTTGAGTTATATTGTATGCAGTGTTTTACTTTACAAACCATTTAGTTGAGTAAATGAGTTTGTCAGTTTCATGCATGACCTTATTCCTGTTTTTTGTTTAGAATTGTATTGTTTGGTCTGACCTATTTGTTTCAATGGTAGGGACTAACGAGGTCAGGTGTGGGCAAAGTCCTGTATAAAGCCAGTGGGATTTTTGCATGCCTGATTGATTGTTTTATGGTAAAATGGAGATGCCAGCAATAAAATATGCTTAAAAGAACTTCAATCGTCTGCTAATGCTATTTACTTATCACCTTCCTTGCTGCTTAAGTTATGCTACATCACAAATGGTGGCAGCACCCTTGTGTCAAATCAAACACCAAATTGTCCTCTAAGTTTAGTTTACATGATGAGTTCAACAGTAAATTATTGAAAAATTAGCAAATATTTGAGTGAATATTTAATTTTTTTATGTAAATCTGGTGAAGACAGTGTTGTTAATATATAGTATAGTCACATGATAAAGAAATCCCATATTTTCTAGACTTCCTAGACTTATGGGCAGCAACAGTTGCTTCTCTAAGGTTGGTGATGTATTTCCTCTTTGATATTGTTTTAACAGCGAAAACCATATTTTTATAGATGTGCTCACATTTGCTGATGATCAGTTAATCCAGTAATTTGATTAGCAGGACATGGCTGCTACTTGCCCTGTTATTTCCTGTGGAAGTAGTAAGGATGGAATTTGTGCTTCTGCATTTTGACTTCATCTTTGGTCAATAAAAAAAAGACATTCTTGCTTTGTTTTTGTTCATTTTTATGTAAGTAGTTTTAAGACCTGCTAAATATAAAGTCATTTTTATGATGCTCTTGCACATAACATCTTAGAATTAAAAGAGGCAACATTTTACATGTACATGGGTACATTTTTACAGAGACTTCTTTTAATTTCAGCAGCATAAACAATAAAGTAAAAGAATCCTGAACTGAAATAATAGATGTAAAATATGTAGACCAAGGCTTCTGCGAGTGATTTAGGTTTGGTGTAGTTCCACTGTTTTAAAACCTCAGTGTACTGACTTATTCCCATTACTGTTTCGACAGTGTGGCTGGGAAACTTTGGGGAAAATGGCTCTTAGCCTCAAGATGCACATTATCCTCATTTCACCTTTTCTGTACTTTAATGAAGTCAATAAAAGTGACTCCTTGTATGAATGCTGCTTTAGGCAAGCCACACAAGACTGCTAGCCCACAGTCTACAAAAACAGAATAAGATACAAAGTGAACTTAAATGTTCAAATAATTGACTTTGAAATCAAGCACAAAGCAGAGGTTTCAAAAACCCTCTCTCGCTCTGACAGGAGCTGGGCCTGAATCCTTTGTAGATACCGGTAAGGACTACACCTTGATGACCTAGTAGATGGCTATATACATGGTTAGACCCCAGTCATATAAAGAGGCCAACTACCAGTTGGAAAGGAAAAGTGTAAATTCTACAATGCAAGTAGTTGCTGTCAGTCCCTAATGAGAAACTGGTTACAAAGAAATACACAGTGCTGCACTGACAACCTCCTTGCAATCAATTTGGTCTGTAGCAGGTTGCCGTGGTTGCCAGTAGTTTTTGTGTTTCCCTGCAAACACTAACAAACTACTCAAGAGCTGTACTGAAACTGTGAAATATGTGATGTAAATCAGAAACCATTTGCCTTTAAAGTAAAAGATGTTCCTTTGCAAATGAGTTAATTGCAGTAGTAAGACAAAATGTTTACTTGTAAACAGTCTCTCTTTCTTTATTGCATCACAGTTTTTTTTTAAAGTTTCACTACAGCTCAAAGAATGATTGGCAAGTGCATCTTTCATGCAAACTGAGAGTGAAAACTGCAGTGTGCTAGCAACCAAAGCTAGCAAAAATAAAGGGATTTTGGGTGCTTTCTGACCGATTAAACTTAGCAAGAGCCAGGAGCACCCAGCAGGGAATACACATTTTTCTCTAGCAACTGGAGGCTGTCAGGGGGTCACATAGGCCTGTGTGACGGAGGCCTTATTGTACCTGGCAAGCTAGCATTACCCAGGATGATGTTTGGCAGCTTAAATTTACAAATTGGCAATCTTTAAATAATCTGTGTTTCACTAATTGTTGTGTCCCACAAGGTTTGCTCTTTGAGTTACTTATGGATTGTTAACTGGTGTCTTAACTCTATCACATACTTAGGACCATGAGTAAGAAGGGTCCCATCTCTGTAAATGAGAAAATTTGAGCATCACGACCTTAAAGATTCGCTTAACATCTTTTCAGGTCTTAAGTACACATAAACAATCGTGATCCAAGATCTTTTCACATGACATGTCTTTTGTTTTGAATTTTATGCCGTGCTGCCATTTTTTACAGATTTTGCATTTCTCTGTCGGATGCTTAATACCTACAGTACAAGACAAGTTTTTCTATAAGAAACCTAAAAAAATAAGGTTTTGTTGACTTGCTTGAAAATGAGAACCATAAAATCATAATGTAAGCATTTGGACCTTGACATGAAGGTTTTTTAATCACCGGGCAATGATCAATACTGGAGGAAATTAAAGGCTTTTCAAGCAGTGTTTCAGAAGAAGGTGCTTTGATTTTTTGTAGTGTTATTTGATTCATAACACTTTTCTGAACCATTTTATTTTTTGGTTAGATTTCAAACTTGTATTCTCCCTGTTTTAAATCAACGTGAAGTGCAATATCCACTCATGATCCACCTGCACTTCCAACATTTCTTGTTCATTCTCATTGCTTGTCGTAGCTTCTTCTGCCAAGACTGAAAATGTCCCACACTGTCATCCCATCATATCCTTGTTGCTCTGTTCACTGACATACTGCATGCTACTGCCAGTTGGTGTTTTCTCCCTGTTAGTGTTGAAGGCATCTCAAATTCGATCTAATGCAGCATTTTTGGCCTGTGAAGACTTCAGTATCCCACAATTTACTGACAGATATATAGACCGTAGATAGTTGGTGTTTAGGTCTGCATGTGTACTTACCCACTGAAATGGTCCACACTGCCATGATCTTGATGCGGGCCTTGGTGTGAGAATTGAAGCGGCTGTGGTGGAATGGGTTGCGTATGGCGATGTATCTATCCAGAGAAATGGCACAAAGGTGCATAATGGATGCTGTGGAGAACAGGACGTCCAGATAGATCCAGATGGGGCAAAGATTAGAGGGCAGGGGCCAACCGTAATCTGCAGAAGGGCAGAGAGTACATATTTGTTGAATCTGTGAAAATAGCTTTACCTGGATGAACAATGGTGCTTTAGTCTCAGTGTTCCGGATGATATCCTCCAAAAGGCAATTTTGCTGCATTGTATCAAATCTGAACGTTAAGTTGAAGACTAATCTTACTATCTGTTTTTTTTGCTAGTTGTGGCTATACTTCAGTAACACAGTGATGCATTTTAGTGCTGTCAACAGTACATCTTCTGCTACTTGACTGATAAATATCTTTGTTCAATTATTTAAAACTGCATTTTTCAGGTTTTCCCAAAGGTAAGCTTTATTTACACCTGACTGATATTCACAGACTTAAAATTAAAATTCAGTAGAGACCATTTATTGAGAACATGCCACTTAAAAACGTGTTTCAAAATCACTCAGAAATGGTACTTTTTCAAATACTGATGTTTTTAAGCAACTTTCATTTAAAATCACTCTTGATCTTAACTGTCAGTGCTTGACCAGTGAGGTGAATCCATGAATGAGTTTGGGTACACAAAATTTGGAATGAACAAAATCACAGAGGGGAAAAACACTGTGCGAGCTGCTGAAAATGTTAAAAAATCTTTGCATTGCATTGTTTCTGGCAGGCCGTAGCCTGAAGCTCAGCCAGCAATCTTGGCAGATCAGTTGTTTTCAAAATCATCAGCTGATTGCTCTGCAGATACTCAGATGAACATCCTATTGGCAAATCTCACTTGGGGTGTGCTCTGTAACCTGCTTCAGCCTGCATACAGTGGGAGCTGTCACTGTATGCAGGCTCATGCTCCTCATGCTCCTTCACAAAGCCACCTCCACCCTCATTTCTTCCATATCATGCTATTCATGTTCTTTCTCACTTAATTAATGTTAAATTTGACTTAATTAAATTTGTGAGTGGCAAGCCAGGAAGGTCTCAGAACAGAGTCCCACTTCCAAACATAAATTTTTGTCACTGAATAACAATCTTATTTTATTTACTCTGACAGGTCCTCACAGAACTGACATTAGAAGAGATCATGATATGAAATTAAACTTGTATATTTTTCTTGGATTATTCTCAAACAAGAATCCAGGTTTAATTTTGTTATAAAATGTGTCTGAGCAGCAGTACAAAGTAACACTCAAGAGAATGCTTATCCTTTTTCCACAAAGACCATTGAAATTCCCACAAGAGCTTGCATTTAAGCTAGTGGAACAAAGCCTAACCTGGTCATGACCTCACTGTTTTACTTCTTCATGGCTCAATCCAGTTTAGAAATGGAGGTAGTTTAAACCTCAACTGCTGCATTGGAATCTTAAGAATAATATAGTATTGTAATATGTGTAAAATGACCTCATGCTTAGGTATTTTTTAGCAAGAAATATGCCCACGAGATACCTTAAAAGGTGGTATTTTTGCTTTACCAGTATGCTGCTTTGAAGAATTAGCTGAGCCTCAAAGTGAACGGTATGTTTGCATTCTCGTCTTTACAAGCTTTATGTACTGTTTGAAAGCATCAGACCGAGGATAGAGGAGGCATTAAAATTTGTTTCCTACTGTATCATACAGGACTCAGAGACATGGGTGAGGAAATGGATTTTCTGCTTTTTAACACAGACTGGAGCCTGCCGATGTGGCTCGGGCATTTACACGGAAAGTATGGAACCATGGTGCATAACTACAAGAACGGGAAAAAGCAGGAGGCATGACACCACAGAATAAATCTAACTTTAACGATTGTGGAGTAAGATGAAACATGAGGACTAACTGGAAAAATACAGTCACTATACCTCATGTACTGAAAGTATGTCTATGTCCCTCAAAACTTAGCAATGTATTTCATAGTTCACTTAAAAGCAGAGAAGTCTCTCTGCTCCTTTTATATCTCAAGGAAATTTTCCCATGAAGGGAGGTGGCTTCATGATAACCAGTGGCTTATTTCGTAGGTTTTTGCAGCTGGTCTTTCTAATATGAATAGTAATGATACACAGGGACAATATTTGTTTTTGTTCCAGACTGCAGATTTGCTTTAATTTAACTTAGAACATTAAGGTAAAGAACATTAGCTGTGCTGCAATGGTGGTTTTCATGGACTTGTGTGTTGTTAGCCTCTAAAAAGCTGATCACACAGTCACTGCAGAGTGATAAATGGAATGAGTCATACAGATGGAACAAGGCCGAAGGCTTTTAGACCCGCCTCGAACTGAGAATGTGCTCCAGATACATCCACCACTGACTAAACTGCAGGTGCACAGGCTGGAACTATATGTTTCTACAGACATGCACGTATCTTCAAATCACACACACACAACCACAGCATGTCTCCCTCATGGCTGTCGTGCTGCTCCTGCAGCAGTCATTTCTAAATATAGCCCTCTAAATTGGTCCTGAAACTACTCAGCTGCTGATGTAAATGATATTATATTATGAATATTATCATGAATGGACGCAAATATGCTTTTTATGTTCTATAGATCAAGGTTAGTTTATTTATAGAGGTTGTTTCTGCACAGGGCATATCAAATTGCATAACACAGAAACAGAGCAGTGAAAATCAAAACTATAAAATCAAAATGAAATGAAATGAGATATAGTGAAAAACTAAAAACAAATAAAAGCCTCACATTTTGAGTGCAGAAAAAAATGTCTTTACAAAGCAAATTCAGCAGTACCTATTACATGGCAGACACGGAAAGTAAAAAAAACAAACAAAAAAAAAAAACAGCGAAGATTACTATTGAGTCTTTGTCACTGAAAGGGTTAAAAAACTGAAATTGCAAACGTGGCCAATTATCACTGGCCACTTTGGGGGTGTCACCCCAAGCAGCTCGCTAGTTCCATTGCACCAATCCCAATACATCAGGAGATGTCTATAAATTGATAAATGGCATCGGTAGATTAAAATGTGGTAATGTCCCATTCAATAAACACTTTTCGAAGAGATCTCAACAATTTTTGAATGGTACTCACTCTTGTGTCTTTAGTGATTAGCTAGGTTAGCTTCTGCTAGCTTAGATCAATACTCTTGCACCATTAGCAGAATGTTTATAAATGTTTATTCACTCTTTGCCCTCCTTTATCATTAATGGCACTTAAAAAAAATTAATGCTGTTGGGTTGTAGCTTTGGAGATCAGACTCATTTATTTGGATAACTGAATCCACTCCACACCATAAACCCCCCCCCCCAAGAAAAAAACAAAAACAAAAAAAACCAACCCTGTAGATAGCCAGGCCCAAGTAGCCTGCGTGAGCAAAGGTAGCTAGTCCTGGTATATTACCCCAGCAGCTGGGGAATCTGGCCAGGTGTGTGGCTATGATGAGCAAGCACCCAGTACTCCACCAACCCCCTTTCCCCACAGAGCAACACACCTCTCAACTAAAAAAACAAACAAACTCTGGTTATTGGCAAGTCCATTCTTAGATTTACGAAGCTAAAGATTCCAGTGACTTTAGCTGATAGTATTCCAGGCACCAAAGCAAGTGACACTGAAAGGAATTTGACACGCTGGCTATGGATAAACGTGGTTTCTTACGTACAACATAGTGTATAACCAGATGTTTACTCTAGATGGCATAAACTTGCTCTCCAGTAACACTGTGACAAATCTTGGGCTCATTCTTGACCAAAATATATCCTAATATGATATTGTGCAATATCTCTAAAATTAGAAAAAATATTTTCAGAATTACACTGAAAAACTAAAACTACTGCATTTTTTTTTACTCCTAGCCTGGATTATTTCATTATCATCAGGTTGTAAAAGTTGTTTAAAAAGACTTTGTCGATCCAGAGCACTCCAGTAAGAATGCTGACGGAGAATAGAGCAAGCAACCATATTTCTCCCATAATGCCTTCTCATTGTTGGTTCCTGTTAAATGAAGAACTGAATTCAATATCCTTCTCCTCAACTTCTCCTTCTCATGTTAAAGACATCATAGAACCATATTATCACAATAGGAGTTTTAAAAAACTGAATGCGGGTGAAAGGGCCCTCTTCTGTGGAACTACAACGACACCGTCTCTAGTTTTAAGATTAGGCTTGAAACTTTCCGTTTTGACGAAGCTTATATAAGGCTGAATCAAATTACTCTGAATCCTCCCTTAGTTACGCTGCCATAGCCCTAGGATACTGGGGGCCTCCCATGATAAGTGTTTCCTCTTAATTCGCTTCTTTTTCACTCTGTGTTTACACCCCAGTATTGCATTTAACCATTACTGATTCTTCTCATGTGTGCCTTTTGTCCTGTCTTGCTCTGCCGAAACCTCAACCACTCACGGCAGATGGTTGCCCCTCTGTAAACCATGAGATTTCTTCCTGTTAAATGTGAGTTTTTCTTTCTCACTGTTGCCAAGTGCTTGCTTAAAACTGATTTTCACAGCCAAATAGCTGACATTATGGTGAGTTACAGTCCTCACAAAATGTAATCCTCCATGCATCTGCAGCCAGGCCCCCTCCTACTCTTTGTAAAGACCATAAGAAAAGCAAGAATAAATGCATCTACCATGTCTGCTTTTTTAAGAGATGTCAACAATGGCACTGAGGATTTGATGCAGATCTTTAAGGACAATTGGGACCTTAATTTTGCATAATCATGAAAAACTGAATGAATGTACGCATACAGAAACCAGCCCTTGATTGAATAAATCAGCTCATCCATGTGAATTTAACATCAGCCCATATAGAATATGTAGGCAAAAAGTCCCTGTCAGTATCTGGGAGATTTTTTGTGGCCAAGTTGTCACCACCTCCCCCAGGATCTCATCCCAAGGGTGTTGACAAAAATAGATCCATAGCTGAGGGGATTAGAGCCAGATCATCATGAGCACCATCATATTCCAGATCATGGTGGAGTGTTTACGCACCCTCCTCCTCATCACTTCCATATTCTCTGTTGTTCCCACTATGCGACAGGTGAGAGACAACCTGATCCAGGCTTTTATTTGGAAGGAGATGACTCATCTACGTTGCTCGATGTCGCCATGGTCACCGCCAGACTCTCTTCTA